ACTTTTAACTTTCTTTCTTTATTTTTAATCACGCTTTTTGTTTTGTAATTTAATGTAAAGCACATACTGTAAACGCACTATATATTTTTTATCAATAATTATTATTATTAGTTGAAACTATTTTCCTGCCAATTAACGGATAATACCCTACCTATTCTTTGCATACAGTACCTTTAATTAGGCTACCAGTAATAAATGAAAGAATCCATAAAATCACAAGAAATCGACCTTTGAGAGAGAATACTGAATAACAACACTCTACGCATCAGTAAGTTTCTTCCAATAATATTACAACTTCTAATAAAATCATTTTTACTGTAATATTTTTTTGAGGATTAGAAGATAGAAAGCATATTCTACCATGTTTACAGCTTTAATTAAAGGGATTAAAAAGTCCCACTACTAACCAAAGAAAAGGTGTCCACCTGTTATTGTCTACAGTACATCAAAAGGCCTATTTCGTTCATCCAACTTCTTGCCACCTGGGGATGTAACAATGTTAAGCTAAAACTAAGCTCCATAAGGGCTTACAATATGGAATCTTGCAACCTCCAAGAAATGGTATATTTAATGAATATCTGATATTTAAAACCACCATTAGTTTGTGTCGAGATACTATTCAATTGAAAGTATTTGAATTCAAAATATGTTATAGTAACTGAAAATTATTTTCCCACTAATAAACAGATAATAAATAAGTATTAACTTTTAACTTTCTTTCTTTATTTTTAATCACGCTTTTTGTTTTGTAATTTAATGTAAAGCACATACTGTAAACGCACTATATATTTTTTATCATTAATTATTATTATTAGTTGAAACTATTTTCCTGCCAATTAACGGATAATACCCTACCTATTCTTTGCATACAGTACCTTTAATTAGGCTACCAGTAATAAATGAAAGAATCCATAAAATCACAAGAAACTGAATTGTTTTGATAGTGTTTGACTGGAAGTGGATGGGTAGCTATAATTATAGTACTTTCAAGCAATTTAATGCTTTGTTGTAGTAATTGAACTTCAAGGAGGTTTTTTATCCAAATTTTATCACAGACATATTATTAAACTCTCTCCCTGCAACAATTATCATAATCCTTTTCCAGAAAAGTGCTTATTGACGTCATTTTTTCAACCTTTTGTGTTATTTTTCCAGAGTCATTGCATCTGTTCAGCCTTCACTGGTTCACCAATTCAGTAAAGAATAGTATAACTAAGCAGTAACAAAGGCTGATCTGAAAGCCTCATAGTAGAGTTACAGATTGGCTTCACAAAAATGCACAATAAAAAGTACAACATGGGATCTTTTGTAGCTGGTAAACTGCTAAATTACATTTGTAAAGTGATTTTTTTTTTCAAATAATAAAGGGGGAAATACAGTAAAGTACTGTAAATATCTTGAGACTGAATACAATTTAACAGTACAAAACTACTGTACAAGATCTTAAACTATTGGATTGAAATTATCCTTCAACAGGATAATAAACTACTTTAATCCACAACTGAAAGACATCTATAAACTATATTTTTACCTATTAATAAAACAACACATATTTTTATATGAAACATAACATCCTAAGACAAATCCTAGAAAACACTCTGACAAGAAAGGGAAACTCAATAAATTGATTTTGGAAACACAAAGAGTTATTTAAAAATACTATCAAACACCAGATATTAAAATTAACTATAAATATTACAAATATTTATTAAAAATTAATCAGCCAATGAAGGCTTAATAAATCTATTAATTTTGCATGTTTATTTGCAAATTAAAATATAATACAAGAAATGTCATGATCTACAGCATGTAGACAATGTAACCAACCATTGAGGTATTACATAATTATAGTGTACCTTATGATTTAACAATGTTCAACCGTATGTGATTCCTTCATTCAGAGTAAATTCACACCAAGGGTACTATATGGAATTTTAAATACATCAACATTTTTTACTGTACTGTTTTAAACAATTTATTACAAAATATTCTATTTTAGGATTGAAGTGAAAATTTCCATGTGTAATTGTGGAAAAAATAACCGAGCAGACATAATTTAGCAGGAAACACAAAATAAATCAAAAACTTTAATAAGTTTTAAAACAGTGCATTATCATATAATAAATGTAGTCATAACATGTTATGAAGGTCAGATTGATATACAGATCAATTTATAATAGAAATACCATCTGTATTAAGAAGACAGATTCACAGTGGAATCCTATCGACACTTAACAATGAGCTACTGGGCAGGGACACCCGCTGTAGCATGACTCACCAGCCAATTGTTAAGCTCTACAGAATGGAGCCTCAAGTTGCCTGGATGACTAACCTACCAGGTCTGCAAACAGTCAGTTCAATCAATATTTACTGTATATTTTGTAAATTAGTAATTTATTGTTTATACTGTATAATTATTTTTTAGGTGGTTTTTCCAGAATCACTACAGAGAGTATATCTTTCTATCTGTGGTTAAATCTGTAATAATAGTAATACTACAGACACTAATTGGTAATGGTTGGGGACTTCCACAATTATTTATATTAAAAATAATTATATAAATTAATGATACAATTCAGTGAAGAAATGTGAAAACTGCTCACTGAATGTCACTTCTGATTTTGTGGATAATTTAAAAAACCAAATCACTAATTCAAATCAACAAAAAGTAGTAGTACTGTAGTTATAACATCAATTAATACTCATTCATACTCAAATAATTCTTATTGACTATAAAAAGTACAATATTTTAAAATACTTGTAATGTTTGGAAAAACACATGCAATATTTTATAAATAATCAAGTTATATTGTTAATGTTTAATTGAATATGATTTATAATTACAGTAATGTCTCTCCAATAGATCTATAAAACTCTATGAAAAGTAACTTCCTCGTTTCTTTTCAAATAAAATTTATCACTGTGTAGGAAGAGGAACAAAAGCATGTTTATAAATAAAGCACATAATACAGTACAATCTCCTTAACACTACGTACACTGGTACTGTATAATCATAGAGGAATTAAACTAATTCCTCCATAGTAAAACACATACACACAGTTATGTGGGCACTTATCAACATGCTGGTACTGTATACTGTAGGTACTACTATTATGGCCATAAAGTGTCATCAGTTTTTCATTTATTTTTGTATTCATGATGAATAAAACATTGCTAAAGGAAATTACTGTAATTTGAAAATATTAATTAAAGATATATATTGTCCCTTGTTCATAAAAATAATTTTGAAATCAACTTGCTCATTTTGCAATAACATACAAATTAATAACTTGTGCATAGAAATTATTGAATTTTAAAAATGTGTACCCCGATTTTTAAACCAGATAAGTATAATAAAAATATTAAAACACTTCCAGTGACTGGAAGTGTTTCTATCATTTTTCGCTGTAAACTGATGGGTAGACATTTTTTAAATATACTAATTGCTATGTTCAAGATGATAACTTTTATGTTACTTCAAAATGGGCACAGTAATTTCCAAAAATATTTTCATGATTTTTTTGGTATTTAGCATGGGACAATACATCTTTAAAATGCTCTCATCACTTTAAATATTAATTTTCAATTGATTTAAAATAGTATTTAAAGGCACAAAAAAAATTGTTAGATTATCACTCTCGCCACATCAAAAATTTGGAAAATATTGATGCGGGAAAAAAAAACAGAATTTTTTTTACCGCAAATTATTTATTTCAACATTATACAATGCAAATTTGTGAATGGAAATACATTTTCTTTAAATAACAATAAAATTAAATCAGTTTTTATACAATATTTAATATATACTTGCCAAATAATAAGTCCCTTATCAATTAAGGAAAAGAACAAATTTCTATTGTTTTGATTTTTAAAAAAAATAAAATTGTCAGCCTGCATCACTTTTTTTGAAGAAACGAGTGACAATCTAATAATTTAATTATAGTGAATTTTTTCTATGTGCCCTAAAGTTCTGAATTTTCTTGTCATTTGTATTTTTTGTAGTATGAATTACACTTTGGAGGTTATGAATTTTCTTAAAAGTAATGATGATCGAGGTACTAAAAAAGTACTGAAGGCAGACATATGTATTACATAACAGAAAGACCTATTTATTTACTAATTTCTATTTGGTAAAATTAAGCAATCATAATAAGTGAATGTAGGATTTGTAATTATCTATTTATGCTCTAAATAAGTAAAAAATGGTTACCACATGAAACGTAAGAAATGATTACAAAAATCAGATTAAAACACACCAATTTGAATACTGTATTTTTTTCTCCATGTAAAATAGAAAGTATGATAAATAATATTACGGAAAAATTAGTAATGCTGTTAGTTAGCACATTTTGAAATTAAGGATGGAGTAAGCATTGAATTTTGCCTTGCTTGCGAGGAAATGCCATCCATTTTGGCTGTGAACAGTTTGGCCGCAACGTATGTAACATCCAGAAAATAAGGAAATTAAGTAGGCTTATCTTATCAGTCACCAGTGGGAATTTCCTACACTCCTTTAGCTAGGTAGGCCTAAGGGGACCTTTCTTCTACTCCTGGGACCCACGCGTCTGTGTAGGCAGCCTAACCCTAGGGCCTGCAGTACTACTAGGCCCTAGCTAGGCTAGGCCTAGTATATACTAGGAAGGAATGTTTTCTTCTAAAAATAGCCTAAATCAACATTCTTTTACCAGTTGGTTAAAAAAATCAAATATAAGCATCGGTAAACCATGGAGGAATTACATCCATGTGTAAAAATTTAATTTAAATAATGTTGTAGTACATGTTTGTTGAATTATTTAGCCACCGGCAGCCTTTTTCTCCTTATAGGCCTAGGCCTAGGCCTGGGCATTGTCTAGTCTAGCCTACGCTAGACTGAGTGAATTTCTCCGGTGAGAGTGCACTGCTAGTTACATAGCAATAAGGCCTAAGATAGGCCCTCCGCATTGAGACGAAGCAAAAAATCTTTAGCTTATGGTCTGTTCATAAAGTTTATAGGTACTTACTTTGATTATACCACTTCCAAAAATAAGCTTGAATAAAATCACAGAATGATATTCTTCCATGTCACCTCCCAAAACTTACAAACTGATTTCTTTTCACTATCAACCCCTGCATTCGTTATTAAAGTGACCATGAACACTGACACAACACCTCTACTTTTCCTGTAGTGTTTTGGTGCAATGGAATCTGCCACATTACGTTGTGGGTCATGTTGAAATCCATCATAAGGCGATTCTGGATAAGTAATTATATACAGTACTATGAAGTTAATAATAACTTTAATTTGTCTATTTTCCACCACCCTGGCAATATAATAACTTTAATTTAGGAATGTATTACTGAACAATAAATAATATATACACGATAACCATTTTTTTCTTTTTGTTCAATATCTCAGCAAACACAAAACAACAACTTGGCTAAATAGTTACTCATCATTCTCATTTAAAAATTTGATCGGAATGATGACGTCATCATGATAAATTCCAAGATGGCGTCCATTAAGGTGGTAAAAACTATGTTTTTAAAGTAAAAATAATTTTATTGTTATTAAAGTACAATACAATCTCAATACAATATTATATATTGTATTGGGATTATATTGTACTTTGATAATCCCAATACAATATTATATATACAGGAATAAAAAAAACATATATACATATATAC